AAAGAAAGAAAGAAAGAAAGAAAGAAAGAAAGAAAGAAAGAAAGAAAGAAAGAAAGAAAAGAAAAAGAAAAAACAGAAATTCAGGTTTAGGATTCATATGTATTTAGTGACAGCTAAAGTCAAGAACAAGAATATTCTTGGCCACAGTGCATGCAAGTGGAGAGGAAAGACAAAGGAAGATTAAAATAAAATTTATATTCTTTAAGAGATTTCATCATGGGCTGGGGATTTAGCTCAGTGGTTCTGCCACCTCCCTCGAAAGCACAAATTCCTGAGTTAGATTCCCCATACCAAAGAAAAGAGAGAGAGAGAGATCTCATCATTTCAATATTAAGTTGGAGAAAATAGAATGGCTAAATTCAGTTTAATTTTAAACATTTTTAATGCTTAATTTTAAACATTCAGTGGATGTCTTGATACAAATAAACACAGATACCAATAAAATAGAGTGCCTGACTTTAAGGAGTTTTCCATCTAGGAAGTTAAAAGAAGATGATTAGATAAAAGAGGGTGATGATAATAATTTCTGCCAGGTACTTGACTTTTATTATTTATTCTTCATAAAACAATTCAAAAAATAATAAAAATTTAAAAAAGAAAAACAATTCAGCAAGGGAGTGTGATTAATACTATTTCATTTTACATATGAGGTCCAAGGCACAGAGTACTTAACTAACTTGTCCAAGCCACTTAGAGGCAGAGCCAGGATTTCATCCAGAAGTTTAAATTTAGATGCTTTATTTATTTTTTAATTTTAATTTTTGGTACCGGGGGTTGAACTGGGGACCTTGCGCTTGCAAGGCAGGCAGTGGCACCACTAAGCTACATCCCCGACCCAAGAGCCTCTATTTTTAACTATGTATGTCATAGAGATGTAAAGATTAATTTAGTTCATATATGTAAAGCTATTGGAAGAACTTACACTCAGTAAATGTTATGTATTAATCTTTATCATCTAAATCGCCCAAGGCTACGCAGTCATTTTGTGTTAAAATCTGGATTCCAACCCCAAATCCATTCTTAACTATTATGAAACATGGGCTATAAAAGGAAAACGTAAACAGTCACCTAATTCCAGGAATCCGAATAGAGAGTGCCCCTGTCAGAGGTCAACAAGACTTTTTGAGGTAAGATACGTAAGCCAAGTGCTGAAAAACAAGTGCCAGGAAAAAAACAAAAAACAAACAAACAAAAAAACAAGTGCCAGGGAAAGAAGAATGTGTAAACGTGAGCTTAAAAGCAAAGACGTTGACAAAACAATACATATATAATTCATGATGATTGGATCCCACAATCGGTTGTGCAATGCCAGGGAATGAGGCTAGAAAGACCCCATATCCAATTCCACGCTGCTAAAGGTTTTGAATTTTAAGTCATTGTATGGACAATACTATTCCAAGACATACACAGCCTGTCAGCCATTGGTGTTAGAAGAAACGTGCAAGCGCACGTTAATCTGAGGAGTCAGGAAACTACCAAATGGACGAAAAGGCACTTAGCGGTTTCTAGTTCTGACAAATCTTGCCATTACCTAAACAAGTTAGCATTTAAAACCAGGGCCGGGGATTTAGCTCAGTGGTTCCGCTGCCTGCTTCGCAAGCGCAAGATCCTGAGTTCGATTCCCGGTACCAAAACAAAAACAAAAAACGGGATGCTCGCTGACTAGCAGGGCGTTGAACTGTCTGGCTTCCGGCATCCTCCGTTGCCAGGGTAACCGGAAACGTGCTCTATCGCTCCGCCCAGTACACCATAGAGAACCGGAAGACGCTTGAGCAGAAAGGCCCGGAAGGGAAAGGGACGGTTGATACGGTGTGGTTTGGACTAGAATGACCACTTTAGTGCTGGATAACGGAGCCTACAACGCTAAAATCGGTTACAGCCATGAAAATGTCTCGTAAGTGTTCGATTTCTTCAGGGGACAAGACATGTGTACCTAGAAGTTCTGGTTGCAAAGTTTTCTCTCCGTACGTAAGTCTCCAAGCGCCCTCGCGGGGCCCTAACCCGAGCCTTAAGGATTTTCTGGCTGGAGTCCCGTTGGGGTTGCGATGCTTTGAAATGGAATTGACTTTGGTTTAGTTTGGGCTTTGCGCTCCGCAAGTGAGGTGTGTGTTTCGTTTTCTAACAAAATAGCCAAGGAGAGTATGCTTTTAGCGATGCATTCATTTCTCAGGAAAGGACTCAATCAAGAAAATTCATGAACCTTCAGAAGTTGTGGGCAACATTTTGGGTGTATCTGTATTTCCTGAGGACATGATTATAAGTTTCACTGGATCTTTAAAGTGTTCGATGACCCACAAAATCAAAAGGCTACCGACTAAAGGTATAGAGACTTTGCAGGCTTTAGCCTAATGGCTGGCCTGATTGACAAAGTCAATTAATTACTGTACTAAAATTCATTCATAAGATGCATATTCATAAAATTTATGTTCGAATAAGCATTTTTTTCGCGTCTGGGAAATCAAACGTAGGGCCTCACATATGCTAGGTGAGTACTCTACCACTGAGCTACACCCAGCCCTCATTTCTTTTTAAGGAGGGAACTCAAACTGAATAAGAATGTAATTTTTTTTAGTCTTCGGGACAACATTTTGACAGTTTATATGATAGCTAATAGTCTTTGACCGCAATTTTGTCATCACTTATGGAATCATCTAGAGGTACTTGATAAGAGTAAGTACAAGGATGTTCTGTATTATTTATAGACAGTGTACAGTTAACAAAAAAATGGAAAGCAACCAAATAATAGAAAATTGGCTAAATACATTATAATACAACCATGAGATTAATAGCAGCGCAGCTTCTTTATTTCCTTTTGGTGCTGGCCATCAAACCCAGGGAACCCGGGGCTTTGTGCTTTAACAAGTGCTCAGCTACTTGGTATCTCTGGATCTCCTCTTCCCTGAGTCTGTCTCTGTCTCTCTTCATTTAAAAAACAAAGGGGGCCGGGGATTTAGTTCAGTGGGTCCGCTGCCAAGCGCAAGGACCCAAGTTCCATCACTGGTACCAAAAAAAAAAAAAAAAGAAAGAAACAAGGTTTCACTATGTTGCCCAGGCTGGCCTTAAACTGCAGGTCTAGGGGACCTTCCTGTGACAGTTTCCTGAGTACCTGAGATTACAGGAACATGTCACTGCACCTTGTCTATGAAGCTTCTTAAAATGCTATTCTCAAAGAATACTTAAATTTGTAAGGAAAATGATTGTAGTGTAAATAAGTGAAATAAGCAGACACAAAACGTTTTATCGGTGTACTCCCAATGTGATGGTGTGTGTGTACACGTACATACCTGTGTTTCATGACCCTGACTTGACTTTCTTTGCAGAGTGTAAGTTCATGATGAGCTACAGCAATATTTAAAAGAAGTTCCTACTTCCGTATCCTTTTTTTTTTTTTTCTTTTTTGTACCGAGGATCGAACTCTGGTCCTTGCACTTGCGCAGCAGGCGGCGAAACCACTGAGCTAAATCCCCGGCCCCCTACTTCTGTATCCTTTAAAATAAAAGCAGTGGCATGGGCTGAGGATTTAGCTCAGTGGTTCCACTGCGTGCCTTGCAAGTGCAGGGACCTGAGTTCAATCCCTGGTACCAAAAAAAACCCCCCAAAAAACCTCAAAAAAAAAGCAGTGGCAAAGTTTATTTGAAAAAGTAAAAATGAAGAGTGAGGAAGAAACTGGCTCTGCAGAGTGAGCTTGGGCTAAATAAAAGAGGACAAAGCAAGATAAAAGTACATCCTGGAGGAAGCAGGGCCAGCTATCTTGAGGAAAGCCACCATAGCCAGCATCCTTTTGACTGACTGAAAATCTTTTGCTGCATGGAAACTTAATTTTAGGCCAGAGTTTTGAACCTGTGAATTTGTGACCTGAATGGTATTAAGAATTTCCACATTAGGTTCCGCCACCTGCCCCACAAGCGCAAGGTCCCGAGTTCGATCCCTGGTACTGAAAAAAAAAAAAGGAATTTCCACATTAAAGCCCAAAAGACTAGGACCTTTATCAAACCTGGCTGTCATCTGTGCAGTAGCAGAGTCAATGCTCACATCTAAGGATTTCTGGAAGATTATTTGAGAAGGATAAAGAGTCCATTATAGAACCAGTTAAATATTAGAATCTTTTTTTTAAAGGAATTTTAAAATTATTTGAAGACAGAATGAGCAACACTGGTTTTGAATGTACTTATCTTTTGGCCTCGGGGGTGGTGGTTAGGTGAAGATATTTTTAAAAACTAAATATTTACAGGATAATTGTGTTTCTTTGTTCTAGGGTTATTCCCAATTGTCAGTTCAGGTCAAAAACAGCACGTCTTAAAACATTTACTGCTAACCAGATAGATGAAATAAAAGACCCTTCAGGACTCTTTTACATCCTTCCTTTTCAAAAGGTAACCCAATATGTGTCATTTCTAGCATTTAAATTAATTTTTAATTGTACCTACAAGACTGTGCCTATGTATGAAAATATTTTTGGATTTCTGAGAAAAGTTGACTTAAATTTTAACTAAGATCTATTTAAAACCAAAAATTAAAATTAAATTGTCTTGGTAAAAATAAATGGCCATTATTTAGCTACTGATTGTGAATACTGAATTTTACTTATGCTAAATCTGTGTAGGTGGTATCACACACACTAATTTAAGACAAAAGTATAGAGAATACTTTTTCTATATATTGGTGTGTTCTTGAGGTTTTGATTGTTGTTAATTTGCAATTTTTGAACTTTTACAGGGACAAAAATACCATTATAATTAGTTTGAAATTCATACAGCATTAGACCAAAAATTGCATTAGACATAGACATAAAGAACATTAAACATAAGCATTAGGCATAAAGAACTAGAATGATTTAGAATTAATATTAATCTGA